CGTTCGACAGCTGCTTTGGTATCACAGTGGTCTCCATTCCGGGGAACGGACGGGCTGTGGTGGAGGTGGCAGCTTGAGTGCGGCATGGATTTTGCAGCTGGGCTGGGGTTGCCTCCCCCTGCCATTGCTGTTCAGGTCGGAGCAGCCCGGTTCTGCCCGGCAGCCACTGCACAATGCCATGGGGAGCTGGGAGACTGATGTGCAAGACCTCCCGTGCCTGTCTGTGCACCTCCAGGTCTCAATCCCTCCACAGCTTCCCTTTCTGTCTGACACCCCTTCCCACCACAGGTGCAGGGCTGCTGTCATGCCCTCTGCCAAGGACCTGGTAGATGATGCTGGGCATGTCATGGTACAAACATGGCAGCTTGTGTCTTTAGCAGGCTCACTGCCTGGGTTGGGCGGGGACGACGCGTGGGCACCTTCAGCCCCTCGGGAGCTCAGTGGCCATGTGTGTGGTGGGACTCCTGGCCGAGCTCTGGGCTCAAGCCTAGGCCTGGAGGCTGGCTTGCAGAAGGTCAGAGGTGTGTCTGTCCTTCCTCACTTGGGATGGTTTTGCTCTTGGATGGGGGATTGTGGGTCTGAAAAATATGGTTAAGGGAGAACCAGCCTCTTCTGAAGATCTGGGGGATGCCTGGAGAGCAAGGTGGGGCAGGTGGGCTGGGGCAGAGGCTTGGTGGGAGCCGGGAAAGGGCATATGGTGGCGTGGTAGTCGGGGAAGATCCTTGGGCTCATGCTGCTGGGACTGCCTTGCCCCACTGAAAACAAAGTTTCATAGGCACCCTGTGAAGCCTGGAGCAGGGACCCTTAGCCTTGCTCCCCCTGACGATTTTCAGTCTTTCCAGAGCAGGGGTGTTGCTCTGCGTGGTTAGAAGCATAATACGTTAGACACTCAAAACTCCATCGCTCTCCAGCCCTGCGTGAGCTGAGACAAGCTTTGTTTTTTAAGGAAGAGAAGAAGAAAGGAAACACCTTCCCCAGTGACCGCTGCTGGGGCAGACTCGTTCCCTCTTGATCTGTGATGGGGCACATGGCAGCCCTTTATCCCCCTCCCCATCTGCAGACACTCCCCAAGGCCCGTCGCCTTTGCTGTAGTCAAGGGCTCACACTGGCTAATTCTAGGTACAGGCACAGGCAAGAGGGACTGAAGCCCTGCAGAACTGGTGAGGCTTCTCACGGCTTAAGCAGCCAAGGTGGCTCTCAAGATGAAATACTGGCCTCCTCTCTCCTGTAAAGAAAGAGAGAACCAATGGATGCTGGTGTTTCTTGTCTCCCATTTGTTGCTGCATGTTTCTGGCTATGGCCCTACCTGTACCTGGGGTCTCTCCACATTTCTCCAGAGGCTAAATGCAACCCAAGCCACGGAGAGCAGCCACAGGGTTTGGAAGGCCCTGCAAAGCTGCCAGGTCGTGTCCACCTGGGCAAGGCAGTCCCAAAGCTGGCCCAGAGGGTAGGGCAGGTCAGAGGCCGTGCTCTTGGTGACAACGGGCGGTTCATTCAGGTCTTTGGGAACAATGTCCATCCTGAACCTGACCCATCTCTGGGGGCTGCGAAGGCCAATGATGCTGTTCCAGTTGGGGGCCATGCTCTCGGTGACCATGGGTGGTTCCTTCAGGTCTTTGGGAACCATGTGCAAACTGGCCGGTGGCTCCTTCAGGTGTTCAGGAAGGTCTTTTATCCTGACTATGATGCAGCAAAGGCCAAGGTGACTGGGGAAGACAGACGCCAAGCAGAGAGCTACCTTGAGGGAGAGAACCAGGCTGAGCCTCATCGCAGTCTCTCTGGAGGCTATGGGTCTCAGCACGCGCAGGCCACTGTACCCCAGGTTCAGCCGGGCAAGGGGTTGGTGCCTGCCTGACCCATTCTCGAGTCCTTGTTCCTCTCCCCGGGGACTTCCAGCCCGGCTGCCCCTGAAGTTCCCCCTCACCCAACCCTTCGGCTCCTCAAGGCGGCGGCCGGAGAGCGCTGGGCACGGCGGGGCGGGGCGGGGCGTTTTTTTTGCAGGAGAGGGCTGAGCACGCTGGGGCGGGGGGGGCCACGGCCTGAGGGAGTTGCGACATGTCGGGACAGGGGTGGGTGCGCGTCCTCAGGTGGACCCCGTGCTGCGGGAGGTGAGGGCCAGCAGCGGGGCCGGGCTTGGGGGCCTACGGGAGGTGTGCGAGAGCTCTGCCCAGCACCGCGGGGAGCGTGGGGCTCCCCTCAGCAGCTGTCTCGGCCGCAGGCGAGCGTGGAGGGATCCGTGCCAGAGGTGGGGATGCCGAGTGGGCGCGCGACGGGTCCTAGACCTGGGAAGCTTTTACAGCGTTCTGGACCACAGCCCTCAGGCACGTTTCCATGAAAGAGTAGTGCAGCCTTCCCTCAAGCGAACCAGAGTAACGGCTGCCCCATGCTGGGTGCAGTTCCTTTCCTCCAAATCTGCGTTTTGCTTTGCGGCTACAGCACAGAGGTGCCTCGGGCCTTGGGGGGCCTCTCATCTCCCGGGTGCGGGGACAGGATCGCTCTGGTGAAGACCTTGCCTCTGGCCCCTGGCTGTGACCGCAGCTCGGATCAGCAACCCTTGCTCCTCACCTCACTGTCTTGCTGCACCCGTGTAAGCTACTGCTGGCTCTGCCTTACAGAAAAGCGATGGATGCTGTTGCAGCTGGGACAGACATTATCTGTTGTTCATCTTTGGAGGGCAATATCGAAATGCCACACGGATCTGATTGTTGGAGGGGATTAAAGCTGAGACCAGCATCCACAGGGCTCCCTGATGCTCCTTCCAAGGCTAGCATTCTCCCCTGGTCACCTGGCTGCCATCCAGCCCTCAGATCAGAGTCATGTACACCTACAGCCATGGTGCCTTCTGCTGAAGAGAGCATCGCATGGGCCAAACCTCCACGCTTTGCCACAAGGCATTTCCATGTTTCTCTTTCACACCTGAGCCTGTAGAGGCCTGCTGTTTTCTCCCTTGCCTTACTGCTGGGTACTGAGACAGAAATGACTGTGTTCTGCACCAGCCAGGCATCTGAAAAGAAAGCCCAGCACCTTGCTTACTCAGAGGTGGTCAGTGTCTGTGTCAATAGGAAAATGTCTCACTTTTCGGGTCACAGGTGCTAAAGGACTGATAGATTTTGCTGACCTGGAGTGTGCTAGAAAATAAAGATTGTAGGGCGCTGTTAAGCAGCAGTTATGCCGTGTTTCCCAGCCAGCACTGCTGTATGCCAGTGCCCTTCAAGACGGAGAATGAGGAGGGCGATGAGCCTCCACATGGCCTGTCCCGAGGCAAAAAATTTCAGGCTGCGAAGGCCAGTGCTGCTGGCCCATTCGGAGGCCACGCTCTCAGCGATAATGGGAGGCTGCTTCAGTCTTCAGGAAGGACTTTCATCCTGACTACAATGCAGCTGGAGTGGATGCAAAGGCCAAGGCCACCGGGAAGCAGAGACACCAAGCAGAGAGCCACGGTGAGGCAGGGAACTGGGCTGAGCCTCATCGTGGTCTCTCCCGAGGCAAAAAGTCTCAACACGCGAGCTGCCTTGGGCTGTCACCCTGCCCAGGCTCTCTCCCAGCCCAGCTCTGCCACTTCTCCCGGAGCACGTGCTCTGCAAGCCCGCGTCCAGCAGCCTGGCTCACACAGCTGCCTTTCGTGTTGCCGCTTCCCCGGATCCCGTCGGTACAGAACTGACACGTGCGACAGGAACAATAAACTTTATTGATCTGAAGAGTGGTAGCAGACTGAGAAAGCCGGCTGCTCCCAGCTGGAGCTTTGCCGAGTGTCCCAGGCATCTCTGCTGCACGGGTGCGTTGCGGCCGTTGCCCTCGGAGAGACGGAGAGGAGCCCTGGCCTTCGGGATGCCGGTGGGCACTGGCAGCACCCTTGGGAGAGAGGAAAAGGGAACCCTCCCCAGAGGTCCTCATCCGAGAGCTCCCCAACGCCCACTGGTTGTTGTGCCTGGTGGGCACTGGCAACCCACCAGGATGTGGCCACCCATTGGCCACAGCCAGTGAGCAGGAACATGACCATCAGGGCCATAATGTCCTCCAGCCAGCAGAAGAGGTTGCAGTCAGTGGAGGTGCCCTCACCGCAGGAGCCGTCGGTGGGCTGAGGCATGTCCTGACGCAGCAGCCTGCTACCACCTTGAAGCGAATTGACTGTTAGCGGGATGAAAATCACACAGAATCACACAATGGTAGGGGCTGGAAGGGACCTCTGGAGATGATCTACTCCAACCCCCCCTGCTAAAGCAGGTTCACTCAGAGCAGGCTGCACAGGACCTCGCTGAGGCAGGTTTTGAATATCTCCGGCTGGAAGGGACCTCTGGAGATGATCTACTCCAACCCCCCCTGCTAAAGCAGGTTCACTCAGAGCAGGCTGCACAGGACCTCGCTGAGGCAGGTTTTGAATATCTCCAGAGAACCAGACACCACAACCCCTCTGGGTAGCCTGTGCCAGTGCTCCATCACCCTCAAAGTCAAGAAGTTCCTCCTCATGTTCAGACAGAACTTCTTATCTTTCAGTTTGTGTCTGTTGCCACTTGTCCTGTCGCTGGGCACCACTGAAAAGAGTCTGGCCCCATCCTCTTGATGCCCACCCTCA